TTTCTTTCTTTCTTTCTTTCTTTCTTTCTTTCTTTCTTTTCTTTCTTCTTTCTTTTTCTTCCACCTGTCATGGCCTCCCAAAGTGCTGAGATTATAGGCATGAACCACTGTACCCAGCCTATTTACTGGTTTTCTTTTGATCCTATTAGCCACAGGGACTTTGCATGTGCTGCCTGAGCTCTTTTCACCTACTTCTCTTATTCATTGTTTCTTACTCAGGGGAAGACTTTCCTGATCTTCATAAACAAAATAATCCTATGCTAGCTTGCATACCCTCATGTTCCTTTTCCTAGCAGGACTTAGAATTGCATTTTTACAATATTGCGTAGATACTTGATTAATACCTGTATTCACATTAGACTGTAAGCACCACAAAGATAGATTTTATGTGTCCCCAGGGCCTAGCACAAAATGAATGAGTGAATTACATGCGAATGAATTAATGAAAAGTGAGTGAGTAAGTAAATGGTTGGTTGATTGAGGTAGTGAGTGAATCATTGGAGGAATAAACAAATGAGTGAATGCTTGAATGCAGGCGGGGTTAGGGGTCTAGTGGCTTAGAAAAGGATCCATTCAAGAAAATTCTTTTATTGAATGAAAGAGAATGTGGTGTTTGAGGAAAGAAACTGTAGACAGCACACTGGCTAGGGACCAGTGGGAGGGTACTTCATAGCACGAGGCAAGGAAAGAGGCAGGTAGCTGTGGTACCTGCCCCGAGCCTGGTGTGTTCCCTGCCTGATTCTTCAGTATCAGGCCCCTTCCCAGCCTCTGCTCCATCCAAGCTAGGTTCTTGTGGTCTCTTTCCTGATTTCCCCAAAGCCCAGGGACCCCAGCCTGACACCAGAGGCTGCTTTCTCTCTCACCTGTTAATGGAGCTGACACTGGGCACAGTGTCATTGTCACAGACGCCCTCAGCCAGGAGCCGGTCTCGGATCTCCCAGGCAAACATGGTAGGGTTCTGACGTTTGTAGTCCCCAATCTTCTCCACCACCTTGGGGGTGGCCACCTTGGGCTTGGAGCCCCCTATCACTCCAGGCCGGATGCTCCCAGTCTCGTAGTACCTACTCCAATAGAGAACCCCGAAGAATTACCCAATAAGCAGGTGGAGTCTTTAGACAGGGACTTAGCTAGAGCCTCGCTCCTCTCTGAGGCTTCTGGGGAGGGGTATGAGACTGAAACGTGTCCCCAAGGCTGGCCTCAAATGCTTGATGTGCATGGAACTATCTGTTTCCCTGCATGCTACTGCCAAACCAGCACCATGTGCTAAAGGCCTGACCCTGGCTGCTCTCTCTCCCTTCCCTCTGGCCAGTCCCTTGTGTCCTAGCACCTACAATAGCCATCATATGGGGCACAAAAGATTTCCCCTCTAAGAAAGGAAATCTTGGTGTGCATGATGTGTGAATGACAGGGGCACAGTAGTTTGCTCTACCCAGCTTCTCTTGGTTAAAACATGACTGACTTTTTTTTTTTTTTTTTTTTTTTGAGACAGGGTCTCACTCTGTCACCCAGGCTGGAGTGCAATGGCACAATCCTGGCTCACTGCAAACTCCACCTCCTGAGTTCAAGCAATTCTCCTGCCTCAGCCTCCCGAGTAGCTGGGATTACAGGTGCCTGCCACCACACCAGGCTAATCTTTGTAGTTTTAGTAGAGGCAGGTTTCACTGAGTTGGCCAGGCTGGTCTTGAACTCCTAGCCTCAAGTGATCTGCCTGCCTTGGTCTCCCAAAGTGCTGGGATTACAGGCATGAGCCACTGCATCCAGCCAATGACTGACTATTTTCTTTGGCCACCTGGGAAGCTAGCTGAGGTCACTGGACCCTCTGCTTTGTCTTGCTGATTCACCTTTGCTCCCTGCCTGTCCAAACCTGAGCCATACCCGTCACCCCCCTGGTAGCTGGTTTTCTATCAGGTTTTAGCAGGTTCAAGTTGAAGCTGCTCCTCATGGACTCTGGAATCCCGACCTTGCTTAGATCCCCAGCCAGGTCCAGCTTGTTAAGCTGAGCCTCCTCTTCCTGGGTGTCCACCCTTCACCTCCCTCTACCCTCCAACTAGTTGGTTTGGCAGATCATTGGCCTGGGTCAGGATATCCTCTCCTCCTCTCCTTGTTGTAGAAACTCTCTGGTCTCATCTGCATGAAAAATAATCTGGCTCTTTAAAACTGCATTCATCTGTTACTTCCATCCAGGGCTCATCCCTGTGGGACACCACAGCCCTTCACGGGAGTCCCCTCTCCCAGGCCCAGCAAAGGCTCACACCTTCCCCCATTTCAGGCGGGGAGCCAGGGCTTTTCACAGTTCAAAGAACAGTCCAGGCCCCTTTTCCTTGTCCAGCTGGGGCTCCTCCTAAGCCCACATAAGAGTCAGAGCAGGGGGACAGGCACACATATACAGAGCTGACAGAAAGCTCTGGCACAGAGGCGTTTCTGGTGGAAGTGGCTTTGCAGACTGGAATCTGTGGCTGCGTCAGCTCGGAAGCAGGCCTTTGCTGCTCCTGGTCTCTCCTGAACTTTTGGGTCGGTGGTTCTCAACCCTGGCTGCAGAGAATTAGAGTCACTTACTCGGCACAGATGGACGAGGGAGTTATATTCCAAAACTTGGGCCTGTTCCCCTAAAGCTCTGATTTAATTGGTCTGTGCTGGGGCATAAACACTATTGCTATTTTTAAAATCAGGCTTCCCCAGGTGACTCGAATGTGCTGCCAGGGCTGTGAAGCACGGATCTGGGGTCTTGGGAAATTATGGTTCAAGAAGCACAAACTCAGATGATCCTCTTTTAGAGGTTGGACCTTGGGAGCTCATCTGACCGTGTGTCCCCTCCCTAGTGGCTCAATTTCCCTAGCTCTCAGTTGGAGAAGGACCTTTGGGGAAGATTCTCCTGCCTTAGGAGGAGAGAAGCCTATAGCAAATGAGACATGGAGCCGAGGAGAAGCGAGAGGGAGAACCTAAGAGAAGGTTAAGTGGACAAAGAAAGAAGGAAGGGCAAGAAAACAGTAGGAAAGTAGTGGCTGGGCAGAGGTCCAGAAGGACCACCATAACTGTTCAAGTCTCAGGATCAAAGCTGGACATGGGGAGCAATTCCCCATTCCTGGGGAGGACAGACGGGCTTGCTGCCTTGAGATCAGCTGGAGAGCAGGGAGGGCAATCTGGGGTGAATTTCGTGCTTACCTGCCCAGGATCTTGCTGACGCAGCCATGGCTGACGCGGAGCTGGCGAGAGATGTCACAGGGCCTCACGCCCTGGTGGGCCAGGTCTACAATGCGCTGGCGGACCACTTCGGGCAGGGGTCTGCCGTTCACAAAGGCCCCTCCCAGCTGGTTCAGCCCGCCATGACCTAAGGAGACAATATTCCCAGGGACAGTTGTCAAGGCCAGGCAGGAGTTTGGATGACGATTAGCTACGAGTGCAGGTGTGTGTGTGTGTGTGTGTGTGTATGTGTGTGTGTGTGTGTGTGTGACTGTGACCATGAAATTCCACGGCCAGGCCCTGTGGGTCCCTCTGGACCCCCACCCCAGTTCTCACCCCCAGGTTGCTGGCACAAATGGCATGTGATGCTCACCCCCACCATGGGATGGTGTTGCAGGAGCACATTGCACCTGGGGACTCTTCGGGCAGACTCAGCCTTTTACTCCAGATTACGACAATCACTCATTTTCTTCCCTCCTTCTGAAAAGTGTGTAAGGAGTTGAGGATGTGGGGTCTTCTCATGCCAGTACTGAGCCGTTTGACCTTGGGGAAAACTCCTTTTTTTCTCAGAGTCTCCTCTCCTTTTGTAAAATGAGGGCACGGATGATTTTCACATTTCCCTTCTCCTCATGGAACCAGATTTTAAAACACTATCCCATTGAGAAAAACAAATACAAAAGAATAAAAGCAGAACCTCTCTGGTAGAGCTTGGGCAGAGAAGACCGAAGCTCTGCCTGTGGACTACTGGCTTGAATGGCCCTTAAGGTTCCTTCTTTCTCTGACAGGCCAGAGCACCAGGAACCTGGTACAGGGTCCTCACAGGCACAGATAGCACTGGGTTCCATGACAGACAGGAGGGCTACAGGCCATTGTGGGAATCTGTCCACATCATGGATGTGTGCGCACATTCCCTCAGCTGCTTTCCTGACTTGACCCGTGCTCTTTGGCCCCAGCCTGTGCTTCATTCTGAGTCCGTCCATCCTGGCAAATCCATATATACTGAGTGCCTACTATGTGCCAGGCACTGTACAGGGCCCCGAAGATGCCAAGGTGAATAAGGCAGACATTATCCCTGCTCTTCCCTCATGGGGTTTATCACAGTGAGGTCCCAGACCAGCAAACAGCCAGTTAACGTACTTCGTGACCACTTTTGGGACTGCTGACATGCAGAGAGTTATGGGAACCACTGCAGGGGAAATTGACTTGGCTCAAGGAAACACAGAAGGGTTCCCGAGGAGGTCTAAACTGAGACTGAAGATAAACAGATGCTAGCCAAGTGACGGAGAGAGGGGAGAAAATGGTTCCAGGCCGTGGGAACAGAATGTGCAAAGGCTCAGAGGCAAGAGGATACTTGTCTGTTAGATTTTCCAACATATTCAAGTCTATCATCCCTACAATCATATTGGGCTAATTTCAGGGCTGAGATTTCCATTTTTGACATGAGGAGACTGGGGCTCAGAGAGTTTTAGTGATCTGATTTATATGACTTGTCTATCTCAGCTTATATGAGGAGGAGTTGGGATCCAACCAGAATTTAAGGCTCAGATCAGGGCTGCTCCTTGAGGGGAGCCCTGCTCTGGGGCTAGAGCTGCCCTGGACACTTGGCATTGGCTCTGCTGTTTTGGGCTGAACATGCCAAGGTCTTTTCACACCAGGGGCAGGATTTGGTGGTATGGCTGGGAGGGTAGAGCCCTGGGGGGTGGAAGTCAAGGAGCAGGCAGGTGAGAAGGAAGAGCCAACCCCAAGCTTCTGTCTGAACCAGTTAAAGACTATTTATGGCAGAGGGTGGGAAGTGCCTTTGCTGGGCACACAGTGCCCATTATCACCCACTGACTTAGCACATTCAGAACTGCCTTGCAATGTCTCTTCAGGGGCCAGAGCTGTCTTCAGCAGAACACTCAATTTCCCTTTAATGAAAGGGGTGGGGGTGTTCTAAGCCTTTTCTGCCCTGGGCAGTAAGTCATGAGGAGAAGCCCTCTGGCCAAACACCCAGCAGGAAGGATGCAATGATCCATCCTCCTGGTAGAGGCAACAGGTGAGCTTGGGCACAGCTTTTACCTATGCCCCTCCAGGCGTCTTCCTAGTGAGTACTTTTCCACTAGGGCTGGAAGTGCTTGGAGGGGCTTCAGGAGAGCCCAGACAGTGGTCAGAGGGGCCTTTGCCCAGTGCTAAGCCCACTCCTCTGGTCCTCTCTGGCTAGAGTGCCGTTTGTGAATTGCTGTAGCCATTTGCCCCTCACTGCATCATTGTTGCCTTCCAGCTCTTTTGGGTCCTGATACTGAACACAAGGGGGCGCCAGACAGCCATCCAAACAGGCAATCTCCGGCAGTCCTGCTTTGTCATTTTCCAGAACTTTCCCTGCTGTGTCCACCCAAACCTAAGTGTTTGTTCTGGAACCTCTCTATATAGAAGTGAGGTTTCTTACAGATGGGGGTTCTTCGCCTCTACGAATGTGAAGCAGGTTTTAAAAGCCATTTTGGGGTGGCATGAATTGGGTATTATGTTTTTTATAAAAAATTAACTACAATGTAAGCTGTATGACCCATTGCCCTTAATTATCCTGAAGGTCTGACTGGCATCCTTAGAAACCCAAACGCTCAGGAAGCCCCTTGAGAAGTCATTTACCATTATCAGCCAACATCATAGTGCTGGGAAAGATGTATTCACATTTCTGGCCCCTAAAGTGTGAAGTCTCTGGTGCTTTATTTTATTTGACTGGCTTCCGAATGACTTTGTGTTACTGTGGAAAGACCCTTGGGCCTGAGTCCTTCCTTGACTCTGCCTGTTCCAATCTTATCATTTGAGAAAGTGGGTTTTTTTTTTCTTCAACTTAGTGTTTTTATCCACTCAATGGAGCTTAATAAAACTTATGCCTGCTGCTGACTTAAACTATTATAAGAAGATAGGGGATCAGGATGGAGAAGTGTTTATTCAGCTAAACAAATCTTGTTATAAATGTAAAATTTTTCTAATTTTCAATATTCCCATGGTTGAATGTTACGACCCAAGCTTGGCCCTAGGACTAGGGAGTGTTTTCTCAAACTTCAGCATGCATCAGAATCACTCGCCAGTGGGGGTGATTAAAATACAGAGTCCTGGGCCGGGCGCGGTGGCTCACGCCTGTAATCCCAGCACTTTGGGAGGCCGAGGCGGGTGGATCACGAGGTCAAGAGATCGAGACCATCCTGGTCAACATGGTGAAACCCCGTCTCTACTAAAAATACAAAACATTAGCTGGGCATGGTGGTGCGTGCCTGTAATCCCAGCGACTCAGGAGGTTGAGGCAGGAGAATTGCCTGAATCCAGGAGGCGGAGGTTGCGGTGAGCCGAGATCGTGCCATTGCACTCCAGCCTGGGTGACAAGAACGAAACTCCGTCTCAAAAAAAAAAAAAAAAAAAAAAAAAAAAATACAGAGTACTGAACAAAGTGCCCTGAGTTTCTGAATCAGCAGGTCTGGGACTGAACCAAGAATTTATGTTTCTAAGAAATTTCCACATGGTGTTAATGTTACAAGGCCAGGGTCACACTTTGAAAACCACCAGTTTATGCCAGGCGATGGCTGGTGAATTAAGCATAAGAGAATAAGTCTTCATACTCCTCCAACCTTCTTCTAAGGATAATAATGATGGTTTGTATATTACGGTTTCTATTTCTTTTCAACTCAAGACATTGACCAAGTGCCTATCGTGACTCAGGCACAAAGCAGTGGGAATACAACCTTCAATAAGACAGGAATCCTGGCCTTCGAGGAACTTAGAACCTTTTGGGGGATATGATAAGATACATTGGGAGTCATGATGTTAAGGGTGACTTTTCTGGAAAGATACAGGTCCCGACACTTGGGGAGCTTGTAAGTGGTTAGAGGTAAGTTGCAAGGAAGAATAACTAGGAGTTAACTAGGTGAAGAATTTTCCACAGGGAGAAAAAAATCCATGCATAAAGTCTTGGTGCTTTGAAGAAATTGAAAGACATTTACTGTGGCTGTACGACAGACAGGAAAGAGAATTTGAAAGAGCCTGCTGGCTGCAGATGTAGATGGCCTCTCTGGTTTGAGGTTTTGAGCTGAGTCCCTGTAATGGAAGGACTTTTGTCTTTCCTGTGTCCGGTGTGGGGGAGTGGACTCTTCTGGGTGAGTCACCACCAAACGCCCAGAGGTGGGTGCAGGCTTCCTTCCTGCACTGGGGTGGGGGAAAGATTGGTGCCCACTGTGCTGACCACCTTTTCATGCTGCTGCTGATGGGGTGGGCCTTGAGGCCGGAAGCCAAAAATGAGTAGGAGCCTCCTGGTAGGGCGGGAAGTGGGATAAAGGGGGAAGGTGTGACCCAGGAAGAGGTTTGAAGCCTCATAAGCAAAGGCTCTTTGCATGTTTGGAGGATTGTGAGTGGGGAGGCGGGGTGGGTATGGGGGAGGAAGGCAAGACCGCTTGGCCGGATGCAAGCAGGTTCCTGAGTGGAAAGTACTCAGACAGGCAGTGCGAGCTTTCCTGGGGTTAGAGAGGGATTATCTTACAGTAAAGGGATTGGAGCTCAGTAAAGTTCTAGGTGAAGCTTGCTGTCCAGAAATGTATCCTTTTGGAAAGTGACCATTTGGGGAGGTTTAGGGCTTTGTTTGGTAATTTTTTCATCCTTTATAGAGCTTAGGGATGGGAGAAGAAAAGGAGAGACACTCATTGATCAAAATTGTTGTTACACGCACCAATATCCAAACCCTTAAGATGTCGAAATGCTTTTGCCATGTCCCTATAGTCCTTTGCCAAATCCCTATCCCCGAAGTGAACACACTGAACAGTAACTTTCTCTATTTAGGTTTCTTTATAAATTACTCAAAGGCAGGTGCCCTGTCTTTGTCTACCATAATTGGTGTTTTAGTATATACAAGTGGTAATGGTTTACATTGGTATGGTTGTTGCACGGATTCCCACAATTCTGCATGGTGGGACCCCCAAATCCCATGCTTCACTACTTTCCCTTTTATCCTTTTGCTTTGTCTTTTGCAGCTCTGCCCAGTCTTAAAGTGGCAATGGCTCAACGTGTCACTCTGCAAAAATTTCCTTTTAACTACCTGAGGTTTTTTGCTTTAATCCCAAAGAGTGTCAAGGTGGTAGGTGAGCCTTGGCAGGGCTATTGTGAGAGGCACAGTGGCTGCTTTGGGTGCCCTTCAAATCATACCATACCTTCTCCCCTTCCACAAAAGAAAGGCCTTGCCCATGCGAATCAGTCCCTGGCATTCTCAGCTTGGTGGTGTTCCGTTCTCCAGAATGCTCACTTGCAGGTCTGTGATCTGCATGTGCCACCTCCCAGCTAATCCTCTTGTCTTGGTGCCTTTCCGGAGTAAAGACCAGGGCCTGTGCCTCCAACTGCTCCTGAAGAAAGTGTCCCAGGACCATGGAATCCCAGTGTCCAAAGTCTGCATGCCAGATCATGCCAGCATCCATGAGGTGATAGGTTACCTGGACACATGAGACCCTTGGACTGGGTAAAGGCTGCATGCTGGAAAGCAGCACCCTGCATCTGCTGTTACCCTCCAACTTGCTGCATGAGCCTCGGTACCTCTGTGCCTTACACTTGTCTTCCTAAGGGAAACTGGAGCAGAAAGACAGCAGCTGGGCAAAGCTGCTGCTTGTGTTTCTTGTTGATCTCTCACCCTTCTACCTTTTCTGGAACCCTATTCCATCAATGCTCCTCCCATTAAAAATATTATTTGCCTCTTCTTTTCTACCAGGTCCTTCCCCTAAACCTACAAATGGAATTAAATTAATCTATGTTGTCTCTCCAGTCCCTGATCTCAGAATAAATCAAACAAAAAAAAATTCTTCCCTTGACCATGATACTCTTCTTTCCTATTGTCTTCAACTAACTTTCTCCAAAAGTAGTCAATTTGCAGCCCATTCCTCCCTTCACATTCAGTGCTCAGCCCGCCCTGTGCCTCCTGC